GGTTTGATCATGATGCTATCCTTTCCTTCAGTCCTCCAACCTATCAAATCTCAGGTACTGGGAACCAGGATCAGGCATGATGGTAAGGACTGCTGTTCAGATCACAGACCTCGTGGATTGCTTTCTCACTTCCTATTCTCTGTATCTTTTTTTTTTTTTCTCTCTCTCTGTTTCTCTCTGGTGAGTTCACGTGCCCTATAGCAAATTAAAAAACAGTAATAATAAATAAAATGAAATAATTCTTAAAAACAAACAAGCAAAAAACACTCAGGATGGACCTGTACCTGGCATGTTTCAAGTCAACCAGGCTGAGGATTCCAACCTCAGTCACGTGTGGAATCCGCCTTCTCTTGCGGTTCATTACTGCTGCACCAAGGGGCCAGTCCAAATCTTCTGTCTTGAAGGATTGTTTTATCTGCCAGAGAGCATGGATCATGATGCTATCCTTTCCTTCAGTCCTCCAACCTATCAAATCTCAGGTACTGGGAACCAGGATCAGGCATGATGGTAAGGACTGCTGTTCAGATCACAGACCTCGTGGATTGCTTTCTCACTTCCTATTCTCTGTATCTTTTTTTTTTTCTCTCTCTCTGTTTCTCTCTGGTGAGTTCACGTGCCCTATAGCAAATTAAAAAACAGTAATAATAAATAAAATGAAATAATTCTTAAAAACAAACAAGCAAAAAACACTCAGGATGGACCTGTACCTGGCATGTTTCAAGTCAACCAGGCTGAGGATTCCAACCTCAGTCACGTGTGGAATCCGCCTTCTCTTGCGGTTCATTACTGCTGCACCAAGGGGCCAGTCCAAATCTTCTGTCTTGAAGGATTGTTTTATCTGCCAGAGAGCATGAGTGGCAGGGGCAGGTAGTTGACCCATACCATCTGTTAAATTTAGTTAAATTCTTTGCTATATACTCCCATCAAATCTATCTACTTCCTTTTTCAGAACATTCATCATACTTGAAATAATTTCTTCAGCTTTTTACTTTCCACAGTAAGGTCAGTAGCAGAAGGCACTCTGCCTTTCCTGGTTAGAATCATGCCCCCAGCATCTAAGCAATACCTCATGCATTTTCAGTGAGATCTCCATCGATATCTGTGATACTGAGCGATCATGTACACTTTGCTATGCGTGGGCAAGTATGCCTTTCAGTGTGTGTACATCAGAGATAGATTATCCTAAGGATCCAGAGTAGTTCCAAACTCAGAAAGAGAAAAAATAAATAAATAAATAAAGCAGCTGACAAGGAAGCTTCCATGGCAGGTTTTAGTTTCAGAAAGAAAAAAAGGTAGAGAGATGTTGATGTCTTAGATTTAAGAGAGCCCCATGTGAAACAGAAAGATATTTGCTCAGTTGGCAATGTTGCTTTTTTTTGTTTCCACACACAGAAACACAAGAGAAGGGAGAAAAGTCAGAAGAGATAAGAAGCAAGTGAAGAAATGAGGATGGGAAAAAAAAAGCACAAGGTTGATAATATAAGAAATAGCAATTGGGACAGTAAATAGAAAGTATCTAGTAGAAAACAGAATGGTAACGGGCAGAAGAATCAACCATGTAGCCTGCCAAGAAAGAGCTGGTGCCAGATCTATGAACCTCAAGGGATTTGGGAGGGCAGAGCGGCCAATGGTTCTACCTGGATAACGCTAACTCTGGACAGGACCACAGGAAACAAAAATGGCCACTCCCCTGCTCAATTATACCATCCTCTTCTCACAGAGCATGAGTAGAGTTTAAGAAGACAGGGCTGGCATTTGTAATATTTCATCATTTTTTAAATGATAATCAAGCTATTATGAGCTAGTACTTTCTGTCTTCTAAATAAAAACTATCCTATGCAGAACACTTTTCTCCTGTGATTTCAGAGAGCTGAAATTTTTATTATCACTTTCTCTTTAATTTTTTGTGGAAATTCAACTTGTCATTAATTTCCAAATTTACTACAGCAAGTTCCTATCTTCCTGGCATGCTCACTAAAAAAGCTTCCTTAAATCAACTTAGTGGTCTGCCAAAGTAGAACCCGTTTCTGTGATTATTTTAGATTTAATTTAGAAAATAAATAAATGAAACTTATATATATATATTTTTTTCCTGCTATCACCTAACTATACTCACAGGTGCAGTTTTATTTGTCTGACATATGGAAGCAAATCAGAAGCAAATCAGATAATTTGTTCTTTTTTTTTCTTTTTTAAGGAAAGCCCAGTATTGTTCTAATTGAGATCCATGGTAACATGTAGAATATTCTTTCTAAACATGAAAACTGATTTTCATTCAGGCCAGCAAAAATGATAACTACAGGAAGCAAATTATTATGGGTTTTAATGATAAAATGATTAACAAGCGAACAGAGGAAAAAATGTTCTTTTTGCCAATACTACCCTCTAGTGGAAGTATAGGAAAAAGAAAAGGGAATGATTTTGGGGAGTTGAATTAATTTATTGCAATAATAGAATTTTTGTATAGAAGCAGATTTATGTATGTTTTTCTTCAGATGTCCCTGAAGCGTAAGTATAATGAAGTATTGATTATGCTGTTCGGCTTTGCATTTCAATAAATCTTCTCATCTGAAATAATGCATTATGGAAGCACTGTATGTAACTGGCTGTACCTTTTAGCCACAAGAAAAGGTTGTAACCCCCAAATATGTACAATGTGCTATAAAAAGAAATAGTGCTAGCATAACTATATTGATTTATTCTTCATCCTGTCAATGGCAAGGAAGGGGGGAGTGGAACCAATAGTTTAATAGCCTTCAATTATTTACAGCCTTAAGTTTGTGTCTAATCAATTTGCAAGGCCAGTTATAATAAATGTCCACTGTGCATTCAGTTAGATGGTGAATCTAGTGAATTATTCCCTAGCCAAAAAAAAAAAAGCTATTTTGTACAACACTATCAACAGCTATATTGACAGAATTGCAAAAGCTCCTATTTTTTGTTTCTAAAGGATCAAATTTTTCAAAACCTACCTTGTGATATTAGGGTTATAAATTTCTCCTGAGGAAGGATAAAATTTATAGGAACATACTGAACTTACTGAGCTTTGGAAACTCAGGCAGGAAAAATTGCAGTGCTTGGTTCCTACCCTTCAGAAGTTACAACTTGGGGTGCAAGAAATTTTTTATCCTTTTAGTTACAAGATTCACTCATTAAATTAACTAGTACTCTTGAAAAGGGCAGGAGAAAGCATGTATGGAAATGTTTTATATATTCACCCCCCTGCCTAGGGCCTTAAGATTGCCACTCCACAAAGTTTATAATTTATAAAGGAAGTCTTTTATTTTTTTTTTCATAGAAGAGGTTGTGAATGCTATATGTCAATAGAGAGGAAATTGGGTGTGTTTTGCTTACAGTTCAAGATCTCTTATTTTATATTAGCATGTGCAGTTTATTTATAGTCACCACTCGGAAGCCAGCTTTACTGTGAACTGTAAGAGATAATTATCCTGACCTCTTTACAAAAAGAGAGGCTTATAATCAGTTAATTTGTGTTTCTAGTTTACCTTGTATGGGAAAATTGTTGTGTCTAAACAAATATCAAAGACTGTAAAGAATTTTTTTCCTGCTTTTTTTGTTTGTTTGTTTTTTTCCTTTTTATTTAGTAGCATGCGAGAAAAAGGTGACTCAGAGAGGAAGACTAACTAAACAGATTTAACTTTAGGTCCAAATATGGTTGACCTGAATTACTCAAAACACCGCAGGGTGTAAGGATTATTTTTTTAAAAAATCAACCTTGTTGATAAGCATTATTTATTGAGCAAAAATGATATGCCATTTCCCACAAAAGATACAATGTTTCAGGAAAAGATTGGTGCTTGATTTCAGGGATTCAACTTATTATTTTGGTTCTGTCAAATAAATACATTAGTTAAGGCAAAGTGACTAACCCATCTGTCGATCGGTGCCCATATCTGGCAAATGTTAGCTCCGCGATGTGAAGACAAGGACATCTTTTCTCGAGCCACTCCGTTTTCCCTAATGCCTAGCACTGGGTCATAAAAATTGGAGGCACTTGATAAATTTTTATTTAAAAAGTGATGGGACCAGCAGTTAGCGTAATGGCTATGTCGCTGGACTCCCATGTAGTCAACCGAGTTTCGCGTCCCTGACCCGGTGGCTTAAAACTCACGCCGGCGCGTGTGCGTGCGTGCCCAAGATCCCGAGAGGAGAATGGAGGAGAAGGGATTGCGGCGTGACCATCCCCCCTGGGGGGGGTGGTTTCTCGCTTTCTGTCTTTCTGCCTCTGTCTATCTGTCTGGCGAGCCCATGCACCCTATAGCCAAAACCTCTCCAAAAATAAAAAAGTAACACTACATGAGTAACAATGAACATATGTCACCAATTGAGAAAATAAAATGAGATGCATATAAATTGCTTTGAAAAAATCATTAAGTAAATTAGTATTATTTTCTGTCTCTAAGTTCATCTACTCTTTTGTAGTATGTTACAGGGAAAATCTTTGATCATTTTACATTCGTACACGAGTAAAATGGCATCAAAGGATATTTTAAAGTTTGCATTTGAAATGTTTTAATCATACGATCATGATAAGTTTGTAACATTGGCAGTTGCTATGGAAACCTATAACAAAGCAACAACAACAAAACAAATACAAAAACACCATCTTTTACTCTGGCACTTTTTAAGAAATTAGTTTTTATTTTCAAAGGATACATTTTTACACCATACTATTAGAAATATTTTAGAAAATATTTCAAGCGTCACCTCAGTCTCTGAATGATGTAGTTTTTGGGGGGTGACAGTCTGCTTACTCCAGTGGAATGGCCTTTGGTTGATATCACACACATTAATATTGTATAGAAACTCTGCCAATTTCCTCTGGAGTGCCAGTTTGAAGAGAGAGTAATGGAATTGAGAGGATGGAAGGCTGACAGTGGCAAATGGGTTGTGTGATGCATAGACTGAGAGTCGATCTAGTAACTGCGTCCCTAACCCAGTTTCGGCTGAGGAACTCAACTCTTAATTGTGTTTTACAGGACATGAATGATTATCCTCCTGTGTTTAGTAAACGAATCTACAAAGGAATGGTAGCTCCAGATGCAGTCAAGGGAACACCTATCACTACCGTTTACGCAGAAGATGCAGACCCTCCTGTAAGTAAGAGACCTAGATTAATACTCTGAAGTGTAGTAAAACCTTTGTGACTCATAAGTGACTTAGTTCACAAGACAGCAAATGTGGTTCATGTGAGTTTCACTCTATTCACTCATACATTTTATTTATTCTCATTCTATCCATAGGTACAAACCATATTTTAAATAATTGTAATTGAACCTAGATAATTAGGGCTATACTTTTTGTTTTACTAGAATTCAGAAATTACTAGTTATTAATTTATGTAGTATTAATGATAATAATAATAGATTACACTAATAGAATAATGATAATGATATGTGGAAAGAGATGTATGCATTTGGAATCATTATCATTTGGACTATTAATTTAGAACAGTTTAAGCTTAGTTTAATCTAGGCAGGTTTGATACCTACATATTTTCCATTTTATTCATACATGATTATTTTCTGAGCCAGCACATGATGTAAATATATTGAGTGTGTTTATTTTGGTAAACTAAAATCTTAATATTGCTTTTGAAAATGTTTGATAGATCCTTTTTCATATACAACTTTACCTCTTTTGAGATATTCCAAATTACCTTTCAAGACAGAGAGATTTAAATTAAAATATTTTTATAGTAGAAGTAATATAGATTTAGCTTAGTGAATGTGATCTTAATATATTAAAATTAACATATAGAAGTAGTAGTGCATATATAAAACACTGGCTATGACCATCTAGAGTGCTTTATAAATAATAATTCCTTATTCTCAAAACAGACAAATGGTAGAGATTTAAATTTTTATTTTGAGTGAGCTTAAAAGTAAGAAGGTAAATTCTAGAACTGTATAAACCATTTAGGAAAAATAACATTTTATAAAACCTAAATCTTTAGAAATTCTGTGCTCCATTTCTAATATGAATAGAATTTCTTTAATTCTATTTATTTAATAAAAGGTGAATGACAATTATAACGCTTTTCAATTTCAATTGTGACAAGCTGTATAAAGTCCATTGTAACTATGAGGTCTTGGAAAATAGTAATGTTAACATGAAAACAATGACCTTTAACTTAGAAGCTTCATTTCTTGAGTGTGTTAAAATGCCTTTGAAAATGACTTCTTGCATACTGGGAAATATGATAGGTTAAATGTCATAGCCTTGAACATAGCAATATAGGTAGTGAATATGAAGTTGGTGGTTGGTTTGAGTTTTACATACACTATCACAGGTACACATAGTACTTTGTACTGATAATCATAGGGCCATCAGGTAGCAGGCTGGACTCCCACATGGCTGACAACAGTTCTAGTTCCAGACCTAGCAGCTTAAAAAAATCATGCCAGGCACATATGTGTTTGTGCAAAAGGGGTTGTTATGTGGCCTTCCCCCTGAGAAGTGATTTCTCACTTCCCTCTCTGTCCTCTTTAATGAGTGCACACACACGTCCTAGGACAAAACCTTAAGAGGAAGAAGAAGAAGACGATGACGACGACAATCTTATAGGAAAAACAGAACCTCAAGTAGAAATTATAACACACTAAAAAATGAGGGTATAATCATACTATTTTAACATGCTCATTGTTCTCTTTTTTTGAGAGAAAGATTTTGCTATAGGACACATGCCTTCACCAGAGACACTAAAAGAGACAGAAAGCAAGAAATCACCTCCCAGGAGTGATAGCTATGCTACAGTCCCTTCTCCATTCCTCTCTTAAGATTTTGAGTACACATGCACACACATGTACCTCACACGAGTTTCAAGTTGCCAGACCCAGGATTCAAACCACAGTCGACCTTGTGGGATTCCAGTCCCTTAACCACTATGCCATCTGCTAGCCCCAATATGCTCATATTTCTAAAAAAAAAATTTCATTTACATGGGTAGTGTTAAGTTAGTGTTAGAAAGTTAGCTAGTGTTTAATGTAGTGTTAAGTTTAATACCATTAATAACGAGAGACAGAAAGTAGCACTGCTGTTCGCCTAGGCAGGACAGACCTAAGTTAAGTCTTGGTCTGGAGGCACAAATCCTTACTTTGCTTTTCGCACTAGTTTGACTTTCAGATCACGTCCACCAGCAAGACAGAAGTGTTCTTGGTCTGTTGTCTGTTTTATAAAGAATTTTAATTACTGGTATAGAATATTTACCTAGAGAAGTCCCTACTGGGCTTAAACTTCACATTTCTTTGGAAGTTTTTAGTTTTGCCTTCTCAGAGTTAATATTAAATATCTAATATCTGAAGCTGGATTTTTGTTATAAGTCATTTAATTGTAGTACTGAATACTTAGTGTAGTTACTGAGCATGTATTTATTAGACTCAGTTTTGATTCTTGAGATAGTAATAATCTTCTGGTATAACTGTTACTTAGAATTGAGCCTTGAATCGTTTCTGAAAGTTGAATTCCTTATTCCAGTTTGTATTTCTACAATTAACTCTATAACTAGTACTTAGCAGTCTCCTAGGAAACATTTATTGAACAATTAAATAAATGCAGAAGATTAATGATTATGTCTATGTTATTCAGGGTTGACAAAATGTGCTAGAATCTCAGAAACTTGGCTATTTGTTACTTTAGGAAAATTTCATGAACTTTCCAAGCTCTAATTTGGCCGTTCACAGGCTATGGGAATGAAATGGGGTGATTACATATAAATGCTCAGAACAGCCCTGACTCCTCAGGTAGTAGACATTACTTCTATTCAGCAGTAATCATTTTCCTTCAGAGGTTGGTCCCTTTTTCAAGGCATCTCATTTCATTTGAATTAAGTGAGAACCATACATTTTAACTAGACAATAGCAACAACAAAACTCTTTGAAGTATCAGATGGAAAAAATGGGTAAGGTCTAAAGCCAGAGAAAACATTTTTTGCTGAATATAAATTAAGAATTATAAAATGCATGTTGTGCAAAACTAAAGTGCTCTAGAGGAAGAAAAAATATCTTCCAGGAATATTTTTCCCCAGTGAATTAAAGGCGTAAGCTCATTTTTTTTCTATCCTACTTTTGAGATAGCACTGACATTATATAGTTCACACAAAATGTGAGCACTGAATGATCATTTTGGATATTAAAAATTGCTAGCCTTTCTTTCTGCTCAAAAGAGATGTGTCACTTTAGACTTTCACAAAACAAAACTGCGAGTGTAATTTCCATTTGCACGTTATTCTTTCCAAAACTACAGGCAAACCTTCTGATATAGGAGTTCTCTTCATGCGGAGGGTTAAAGGTCTGACAGAATAGGATCCTTTGTGAGTGTGTGGACATGGAACAATTGAGATAAGTAGTGGAGTTCAGCTTTTGCTCACTTCCAAGAAGTATGGGTTGCCCACAAAGGCTGACCTTCTCATTGCTGTACTGTTGTTTGCATGTATTGCAACTAGGGAATTTGTAAGATTCTAGTCTGAAGACGGTAACTTGAATATGTGTGATATTAACAATTTTGATAGACTTTCTAATTTTTGTATATAAACATACATACACATATAGTATAACACTGTGAGAATTATGTCACTATTTATGACATCTTTTTTGATATTGATTTATAAAACAAATATGCTCCCTAAAAGAAGACCATATAGTTATCACTAGTAGTTATCTCTGTAATTATATTTTGGGTTTAAAAATTAGTTCCTAAATACTGTACTCTCAGTGCTTTTGTTTTAAAAAATAATTATTTTATTTAACTTTATTCCTTTATTTTAATTTGACCAGAGAGGGATAGAACGAGTGAAAGAAAGAGAGAGGGAGGGAGAGAGAGAGGGAAAGTGAGAAGGCAAGTCACCAGGTCCAGGACTCCATTCATGGTCGGCCATGTAGATGTCCAGCACCCTTAACCACCAGGCCACCTTCTGGCCCCTATTCTCAGTATTTTTATTTTATTTTTTATTTTTTAAAAATAATTTATTTTATATTTATTCATTCATTTATTTTTTAACTTGACCAGAGAGAGACAGAAGGTGAGAGTGAGAGAGAGAAGAAGTAAGAAAGAAAGCAAGCCACCAGATTCAGGGACTCGAACCCTAGTTGGCCATATAGGAGTGTCCAGCACCCTAACCACCACACCACCTGCTGGTCCTAGAGTGAGATGGACTTGATGCCACAATCCTCCAGCCTCCATAGGTTTTTGCCACAGGGCGGGCGCCACCATGTCCTCTCAGTATTCTTAAGAGCTATCTTAGCTTTTCGAAATTCAGACAAGCTACTTCAGAAATTACTTGCAAATTCTTTTCACAGGAGTCTTTAAACCATATCAATCCTTCAAGAGCACATACATTTATTTATTTATTTAGCTCTCTAGAGAGTGAAAAACATGGTCAGTTTTTCTTTTCTATGATATGTAGTTCATATTTTATTAAAATGACATCTGTTACCAAGTACCATCAGGTGATTATGGCCATCTCTTCAAAATGCTTAACCCTCCAATAGTCACTCTGTTGTGATCTATTAGCGGAGGGTGTAACAGAACAAAAACAACGAATCCATCATTTGCTATTTGTTTTGTGCGCAATACTTAAAACCATCCAAGGTCAGGAATGATATTAAGATTGTATTTTTATCTCCAGATAATATGGCTCTTCTGTATCATTTCCCATTGATATCTCTACTGGTCTTCTCTTCATCACGTACCACATACTGGCTTGTGTTGTTACGCTATATTGATTAGGTTATTGTTGGCAATGCAGCAGAAACTGTTTTTAAAGATTAGCAGCTACCAACTATGATTGCTGACCCTGGTGCACGCAGGAGGAATTGAACACTGACAGCTTGGTTTTTTATGTCCTTTAGGTTGAAGCTGTTAGGGAAATAATCAAGAACCATTCTCACTGTGCATGTCAGCTTGTGAAAACTGAGGCGACACAGCTCCAGTTCAAATCCCTCTGGTCTCAAATACTTAATTGGAAAGCATACCGAGAAACATTTGGGGCTTGATCTTGAAAATGATAATGGGATATAGTTAAACTCAAAAGTGTAAATGGGTACAAAGGAGAAGTTTTTTGATAAGATTTTATACATGACTAGTGTCTAGAAAAGGC